GGACTGCCCATTCTGAGAGGGATACAAACGACGTCTTAGCAGAAAGACAAAACATATATGATATTCGATTGAAAAAAATTACCCCCACATGGAAATATTGGAAATGAAACTCAAGTCTTTTGTGTGTGAAGGCTGAGCACTTAACCTCTGCACCACCGGCTCATTATTATTATTATTATAATACACTCTTTAACATATTGTTTGACTTTACACATTTCAAAAGCCTATAACGACCTATTGTTTTGACATTTTGACAAGTCAAGTCACCTGAACCAAATGATGTTCGTGGGTGGTTGTCGGGTGCTCTGGCGTGGTTTGCTTCTTCTTTCTATGTTTGTTACTCTCTTGTAACACCTCTAATCTTCTTTCTGGTGCTCATATGACCTTATGCAGTTGCGAGCGCCGTAATTACTGAAACTAAAACTTAGTAGAGTCAACAACAGCAACAGAGGCAAAATCAACAACTACAAAAACAACAATAACAATAAACAATACAACAACAACAAACACAACAACAAACACAACAACAATCAATAAAAAAACCCGCCATCAATAACAACGATAGCAGTAACAACAACACTTTCAAGAAAATGTGACTCTCTGAACATTTATTGTAAAACAATGCAGGAACAACAACAACAACAACAACAACAACATCATCACACTGATCGTTAACACTTTGGAGATGTTCATCGGGAAATATAGGCAAACATATGAGGCGATGTAGGAGAACGTAGTGGGACGGAGTAACAAACAGAGAAACCATGGTAACAACAGACGCGTCCTTGATGTGTAAGATTCCAGTAGTCTACACCTGACAGGGTTTTGATTCCTCGTGGTGTCATTGTTTGTGGTTGACTGGTGATGTCACTGGTCACTAGTGGTATCATCATTTTCATCACTGTCAACTTTCGCAGACAAGTTTTGTTTCGTAACACAAGCTGTGCAAGAGGAGAAAATAGAATGAAATATTTCATTAATAATAACATTTAAAAAATAACTTTAAAA